ATCCGTCTGTAACTCCACCAGCCAATCTGGCATTATAGAAGTAAAAACTAAGAGCTGTCTGTGTGCTACAAATTCTGCTAATGCAAAAAGTGATGATCCTACCAAGCTTATCTTAAATTAAACATTCAGCCAGTGAGTTATTTAATTGGGCTTTCTAATGCAGTTTCACCTTGAGTTTATTCCGAGATGACTGTGATATCCTGAAATAAGGCAGATTTCTCCTTTTATATCAAGACAATGTCACATGATTCATGAAAATGCATGTTTTCTGACAATAAAAACACGTCAACCTTTCAGAGATGTTGTTGCTTTCCAACAAATCTAAAATTAGACAAACTACATGTAGCTAACAAGTGTTCAGTATAATTCTTAGAGGTGTAGTTTGGTAAATCCTTTATCTCTCTAAGGTCAAAACTGCCTGCTGCGGCTTCTCTTTCTCCCAGTCGAGTGTTTATTAATACACCTAAACAGATTTGAAGTAGTCATGGTCACACATAGCAGCATGCTGACTGAGAGGGAGGCTGGGTCAACTGTTACCACCCCCCTAGTTCATCTACACACACTGCTCCCGCTCACTCTTTGCCGCTCACTCTGCTTTGTCGTTTGAACCACAGCTCCTTTTTAACGGATTCATCCTGAGCATACCGCAGCAAGGGCAGAAGAAACACGCATATACACACAAGTAAGTACAAATATATTTCATGTTTACATTTTATGGTTTCTGTAACTGATGTTGATCAAATTTGAATGGAACCCCCTGTACAAAATCCATGCTGTAACCATTCAGCCGCTCCCAAGAGCCAACTTTCAAATAACTAACTCTGTGAAGTAATTTAGAAGTAAGAAAAAAAACACTAACCGTGTATCACATAAAGCTTAAAAAAAGAAGTAATTTAAAAAAAATGTTTAATAAAAGAAGAAAAGTATATGTTCAGAATTGTAAGAAAATACAAGCCAGTGCAGTGTTTGGGTGGTGGAGGCCTAAAGGAATGTGACTTGTGCCCACGCCTGTCCTGCAGCAAGACAGCTGGTGACTGTCATGTCTTCCCCAGGGATTTGGTCGGCTACACATATCACAACAGTGTCCAGTCCTTGGGTACACGAATGACAGAGCCAAAGAAAGAAGGAGTTGTTGGTGCTGTCGATTTAAAAAAAAATATTATCTGTATTATCTGACCCAGTATAACACAAAGGCTCGAGCCGCGTCTTGAATTTTGTCCAGGAGGTTTTGGCGAGGAAACGGCAGCTATCAAATAAATGTCGCACTTGTCTTCCATGCCCTTTCTACGTTACTAATCTCTGCGGATGACAGTATTGGGTCAGTTTGATCAATTTACTCCCTGGGAGTCTCTGGCCAGTATTGGCAAACATCTGAAGGGTGAAATTATAGCTACATTATTCTCCAGGGGAGAGTGCAAATGCCTATCCATCGGCTCAATGACATGTTATGATAATCTGCTCTCTAATCTGTATAACGCCACTTGTTGGGGCTTTTGAGGAAACCTGTTTGTGGTTATTTTACTGTTGCGGTGTTCATGTAAGTTTATGGATAGCCTTGCTTGAGGTGGCCTGATCAGAGCCAAGTAGTCAGTAGGTCCCTTGGGCAACTAGACTAGCGGGACAGCTGCTAGTAACATACCGTCTGCTAAACTGCCCTCCTGCCCATGTGCTAATGACATTAGCAGAGTTTACACAGAAGGCTGGCCAAATTATTAACCCAACTCCTCAGTAGACATGTCATCGATGCAGGCCAGGCCTAGTATTTGTGACATATAACATGCCTGTCAACAATTTCAGCATGGTGCTTAATATGCATCGGCTAGGCTCTCTAACATATTTATCTGCTTTTGTGGTTGTAAAGGAGACTTCTACATTGAAAGTGGCCACAAGAATTAGGATATACCAATGGAGGACCTGGACAATGACATTTCATCTACAGGGTTGGACCCTCTCTTCATTAAAGAAGAGGATGCAGATCCGGACACAACCCTCCTGGAACAAAGAGAGTGCAACACGGCACAATCTGGACTCACCTTCACAGGAACACAGCTGAATCAATCAGCTTTAATTACGCCATACTTACAGAATATGGATGACTTACTGAAAAGCTGTGAGGAGCTCACCGGTATCCCTTTTGGCTCTCACTTCTCAGAAAGTTACAATGAAATAAGCCTGTCTGAATCAACTCACAGCCACAGCAAACGGAAAGACGCGATGGAAAGCTTTGGAGAAACAAGCACTTCTCCCCAAGCATATCTTTCCACAAGCTACATTGACACACACATGGATGGGGCTGAAGGAACAGAAGACCAGCCGGCACAAGGCCAGTCGCGAGGCTTCACCAGCAGGTGCGGATTGACCACAGACATTACTCGCCAAAGAGAAATGCCTCTCACTTCAGCGGGGAACAAACTGAGTGACACCATGGTGGAGTACGAGGGCCAGCTGTTGGGGATGTTAGCCATGTTGGAGAGCTGTATGGAAGAGGCTGGGATGGACTTTGAGCCCCAGGACTGGGCCACAGATGCAAGCCAAGAGTATGTACACATACGGGGTACAACACTGGTGCCCATTCAGCAAGGGAGAACAATGGAGGTGGAGACCCGGTCGATGCAATTAGAATCCTTGGCAGGTCAACGTGCAGGGGGAGATAAAGCTTCCAAGAAAAGCACAAACGAGGTGACAGTAGGTTCAGCGACAAGTGGAAGCCAGCAGAAACCTGTGCCTAGCTGTGACAGCATGGGTGGCTTCTCAATGGAAATACAAGAGAATCTAAAAACAGACCAGGGAGTTCTTGATCCTCAGTTCATGTTTTCAGGGCCATCGATGCCATTAGAGAGTACCGTAAAATATCCAATGTACTGTGAGCCGACAAAGACAGGATATATGTCTACTGATGAAAGCACATACACAAAAGAAGACGTAACTGGGACTGAAGTAGACTCTACAGATGAGAGACAGGAGCACAAGATGGACACCACTGATCTGGGATCCGGCGTGAATGAAATAAGCGCAATAGGGTCTCAGATGGAGGAGTGCATAGAGGAGGTACAACGGTTAGAGAAGAGGAGGAAGGAGCTGCTGGCCGAGGTGCTGGAGTTGAGAGGGATTGAAGACAGAGAGGAGGCAGAGAGGAGCGAGGAGGAGGAGGAAGAGGAGACAGGAGAGCCAATTGATCGCAAAGTGGCAGAGCTGATGAATGCACTCAAGAAGGAGGAAGAGGGGAGGAGAGAGGAGAGGAAGAGGGAGATTCAGATCCTCAGGGAGGAGAGAGCGGAGGAGGAGAGGAGGATGTGGAAGGTGAACCTGGAGAGACAGGGGCTGCAGGAGGAGCTCAGAAAGCTGAAGAGGAGGCTGTTCGCCATGGCTAGGGACTGCGCTCACAACCAGGTCGCCCTGAACACCCAGCACCGTGAGGTGGAGCTGCTAAAGAGAGAAGAGGTAAGAAAAAGATTCATCAGTTCATCACATGAAAAAGAAACCTCCACACAAAAATCTCTTTCTTCCCATTTCCAGGAAAGGCTGCAGTCATTGGTGCTGCAGCTGACAGAAGAGAGCTCCCAGCTCAGGTCAGCCCACCAACAGCAGCTCTTAGACCTACAAGCAGAGCTTCATGTGGTGAGCGCAACTCAGACCTACAACACCCAGGAAGAGCTGACACAATGCAGAAGGAACTCCTGTGGGGACATCCAGCAGTATCTGCAGGGTGGGCTAAAAGCGCTGGAGAACAGGTGCTGTCACTGTCGAGATGATTTAGCAGCTCGATAAAAATCATGTTTTTAAAAGTTTTCATTTGGTCACAATAATTACTCTCATCCTTTTATCACAGACCCATAGAGGCTGATTAAATGCATGCTTTTCTTTAAACTGTCAGTGGTTGTCTTGGCCAGGTATGAACCCATTTTACTCACGTTGCTGAAGAGGAGAGAGGCAACAGGCGGCGCACTGGTGAAAGCCAAAGAGCAGGCGCAGGAGCTGAAGGCCCAGCTGAGACCCCTAAAGGAGGAGATCGAAACGCTGAAGCTCCAGAGGGCTTGTTTGGAGGAGAAACTCAAACTAATTCACATACAGAGGAAAGAGGATGTGGGGCAGTACAAAGTAAGCAAGATGTCAGGTGTGGTGTGGATGAACAAGGGTCAGACTGTGCAACAGGGTCACCTCATAGCCAAAGCAATAAAGTTATGCCATTCTTACAGGACACATTGTACCGTCTGGAGGAAAGCAGCAGAGAGCTGAAGACTGAGTTAAAGATCCAGAAGAGAAAAACCAATGAGATTGAGGCGTTGAAAGACAGTCTAACCAAACAACTACTCCTTTACAGGTAAGATTTTTTGATCTATTCTGTATCACACCATCATATAAAAAACTGTAGGCAAAAGTTCTAAAAGTGTTTTTCTTACAGGGATACCACTGAGGACCACAGCAAGTGTGACAATGAGGACAAAACATGAATGTATATGTTCTTGATAAAAAACTGTTGTTTGATTTTTTTTTTAGTCTGCAACATAGTGAACTTGAAGGTTCAATCAATGCACTTTACATACATTGAGACATGCTGTTACAAATACACTAACAAAAACATAACACGTTTTTTTTTTAAATAACAGTCTGTAATCTGTTTACTAGACTGCAGCTTGTAGAAAGGTTTTTGTTATGAATAAAGGCTGTGTCCATTGTAATCTGAGTGCGACTGACGAGTTAATGTCCCTGCATGAAGAGCAGAGAGGGGCTCATGTACTTATAAGGGCAACATGGCTGAAGAACTAAACACTGGGACACAGAGTAATAGAGTGAGAGAAAGTTCGGCAGACAGCACAGCACCAAGACGTCACACCAGACACATAAAAAGGTCTGAGCAAAGTGTTGTGAAGCATAACCAACACTTTGACTAAAAGGATTATTTAGGGTTGTTTAAAGATACCTCCAACCTTAGCAAGACACGGATCCTATTAATATTTAAGTAACATTCATATTGAGAAATGTAGACAATACATCAAGTGGACCCAAAGACTAACAAAACACGTTTTATTAAGAATGCACTCACTGTACAAATATTGAACATAGAAAAAGTTCAACCACTAATCTATATCACGAAAAACATTGAAAGGATTATTGTGTGACTAAGGGGAGGGGAGGTGGGAGCACAGATGGGACATTTCAAACGCAGTCACTCCAAAATTGTAATTTCATTCGGAAGCAGCTGGTGTGAAAAATCGGTGTCCGGAACAATTACGTGATGACCAGACTGCAGCAAAGAAAATGAGACATTTTTAGTATAACATGCTAGCCTGCAAACAACCTATCAAAGCCACAGTAAATGTCACTACGCTGTGCATGGTGTCAAAAAGCCAGACTGCATTTTACTTGAAAACATGTTTTTTGCTGAAACGTGCAGTTTCGACTCTTTAACAGGAGGTTATTGTAAATTACCGCTTGTTGTAGGGGCTGTCAGTTTGATCACCACCTTAGGTTCAGGAAACTCACTTTATTTATTATTGAAAAAGCAAAGGTTAAAACATTTCAGTGTATAAGGGAGGGCCAATTTGGTTACAAAAATATAACTTTTATATGCACTGCGAAAAACATGGATGAGATTCTTCCGGCAATAAATTACTCAGTTGAAGTTCATTTTGAGTATTCCAAAGGTGGAATCAGGGTTACACATGATTATTCTTTCTTGTATTTACAGTGATTTACGGAATATAGTGTCCCACCAGTAAAGTAGAGAAGGATGGGAAAAAGTCGCTGCTTGAAACTACTGGGGGTGACAGTTTGGCAGTTTGTGATGAGGTCGTAGGTTAAGACACACAGCAAGCAGAGGTGTTAGGTTGCAGCTTCAGGGTCTGTCGAACCCTCCGGATCTTCATCGTTGTAGATGTTCTCAGCCTAAAAAGGAGAATTAGTGGGTCAGTCATTCAGCCACAAACAGTCAGGTTGTTGCGCCATATTTACGAATCAGTTTCTGATTGAAGTGCTTTTCTATTACAGTTCATTGAAAGAAAGACGGATGTTTAAGTAGTATAAAAGGAGTAGGAAAGGAGTAAACACACAACCAGGTTAGTACACTTACCATTCTCACAATTTCACTCTTCTGTCTCATAACTCTGGCCTGACTGCATCAACTCCAAATGTTAGTCAAAAATCAATCTTGACTACGATTTTTTCTCTGTAGTTGTGAAATGTCATCACACGACTTTTCCCTGCAAATTCAATGTTGCCTGCTCTGATCCACGTTATAGTTTGGTAAAAGACAAGGGATCCTGAGGGCATGTGTCCTTAAAGTATTTAGTGTTTTATGTTGTCTTTGAAGGGAAATAATTGAAGTATACAAAGAAGTAATCACATTCTCTGCCTGTCCACGGCTAACATGCTTCAGTAAAATGTGGTCTCTTACCATTTGCCAGACTTGCATAATGTTGTCTTCAGAGACCGAGCAGATGACCCAGGGCTCGTTGGGGTTCCAGGAGAAATCAGAGATCTTGGCTGTGTGGCCTCCATGGATAAACTAGTAAGTAGAAAGAAAGGACAACCTTTTCATTATTATGATACAAAAGATGTTACCATTAATAGAGAATCTCATCTTTCAAAGTTCATCCATCTTCACTGATACTCACCAGGAGCTCAGGTGGGCCATCCTCTGCGTCTTCTGGTGACTGCTCCTCTCCAATTTTACTACAAAAAATAAATAAATAAATAAAACAGACAGAAGAGTTCAACTTGGTGCCAAAAATGTTACGGCATGGTTAATCCCACATGTCCATTGGATGCGGCTGCGACTTTCAAATGTCCACTGAGATCATTCACAAGTGGGGGTCTGTAGCTCAGTAGTCTGTTCTTTAGCAGCCATATTTTCAGTGACTGTGTTGTACTACAGTCACACTGCATCTTCAAATTTCTTCTGTATTCCCTGAATTAGGTTAATTAGCAGAAGGAAAACCATAGTATTGCTATGGCATAAAATAAACCATGAGAGAAGAGCCACACTTAAAACACAGGCGAGACGTTCTGTTCTCAGGCCGGTGGATATTACCAAACTGGCTAGAATCTCTGGCAGCTGCAATGAAGCCAAAAGCAGCACAGCCACATTTGGTGGATATTGAGGGTA